TAGATAGATAGATAGATAGATAGATAGATAGATAGATGCCACACATCAAATAATCTAAAGGTATTCACTGAAAACAGAAGAACATTTCAGGGGATTTAATTTTAAACTTCCTCATCAGATGTGAGTGAAGTTTGATAAGTAACATCTGGCAACATGTACAAAGACGGACTACAGTTAAAGAGAATTTTAACGGATTTTTTTTTTTTTTTTCGATTTTTTATTTTGAACTAATTGATGATTAACATCTGGAAGCCCTCTCGTCAGATAAATTTTAATGAGTATAAAAAGTGTGGAAAGTACTGCCAAATTCTAAGATGCGTACATTGCACGGCATGTCGTCAGGATGGCCGAGCGGTCTAAGGCGCTACGTTCAGGTCGTAGTCTCCCCTGGAGGCGTGGGTTCGAATCCCACTTCTGACAACATCTTTTGTTTTGGTGTCGTTCTTGTTTTTTTTTCTTCCAATAGTCCCATAAGATACAAGGGGAGTGGGGCTATATCAAATCTATCGCAAACAAAATCGCTCACCTTTCTAGTCAGGTAACTGCCTATAGGTTAGCAGAGACCATTCAAAATGTGTCTTCATTTTAACTAGAACCGATTATAATGTAATGTGTTTATTTGATCACTAAACAGGTTTCGATCACAAACCACAGAACATTTTGGCTATATCTTTCTTTAGTTCCTATTGATATTTTTCATGGGCTGTGAGAAACGATTGAGGTAAAAAGTGAACCAATCAGCGAGGCAAACGTCAGCCAAACACGGAAACTGTTCATTTTTTTAATTTTTTTTTAATGAACTTTATTTAAACAAAGTGGGTACGGAAACTGTTCATTGCTCCTAGTGGACGTCAAAGTTCCCACTTCCTGCAAACAGCCTAGCGTCGCCTAGCGTCGTTTTCATAGATATCTATGGTCGTTTTATCCATAGCTGTCACCATTAACAGACATTGCGGTGTAAAGTGGACCAACAGCGCCTCTTGCTGGCGTATACTTGTATAACACCAGTGTTTCTTTCTGTATTCAATATTTTTTATTTTATTTTTTTTCATATATTCATAATTACTTGATACCCAAAACACTGTGGTTAATTATGCACATCAATATACTAACATTAAAGATGATAAGTACAGAATTCCACTCTTTTTAGAACTAGATTTTGTGTTTTATGGGGTAAAGAAATTTGTTTATGCAGGATGATTATTTATAAAAGTAGGTAAGTAATGAAAAAGGAAAAGATCGGTGGAACAGTTCACAAAATCCATGGTTCGGTTTGGTTCACGGTTTCGTGGTCACGGTTTTCGGTTCGGTTTGGTATATGTTTATTGTTACACCGAAAATAATAATAATAATAATAAAAATTAATGAAACATTTTTTTTATGAAATTGATGAAAAAAATCCCAAAATATTAATGAATTGCAATTATTTTTAAAGGTTTGCGGAAACCATGGATCATTTCCGCATGTTTTGCTGCTTTGAATTTAATCATCTCGCGCATGCCCTCTACGATCTACAAGGAACTCGGAGCGGACGGGAGCCACAGTGGAGGCTGTAGGCTTTGCTTTGTGCAGGCGGTCTGGAGCGCAGGTTAGCATGACATGTTGGTCATGTTGCTGTTAGCATAAACAAAATGTGTTGCACAATGCTTGCACACTGTTGCACTTTTATCCACAACTTTCCCTCCGCCGTCATTGTAGGTCACTCTAAATGGAAAATGGTCCCATACAGCAGACCTATAAAGTGCTGCTGGCGCGTCTTCCAACTCCTGTCAGGGGTTGACGTTCAGGATTTTTACCGCTTGCCCTTTGGGCAAGTGACTTTCACATTTAATTTGCCCAGAAACAATTTTTACTTGCCCAGTATAATGTCTGATAAATATAGTTCCTAATATT